ATCACCGAGTCACCCATGTGCCATCACCATAGCCCTGTGCACTTCCATTCCCCACTCCACCCCCACAAAATGTCTGTGGTATATATGACTATTCATTATTCTTATTATTTTCTCGCCTGGTCCATTATACTCCTGCTATGAGTGAAACCATCCTGTATTTTTCTTTTTCTTTCTGGCTTATGTATTTTAACTTTTTTAAGACTCTCCATTTCCTTACCTATAAAATGAAAGAATTATAAACTAAGATATAAGGCAATTTGCAGCTCTAAAAAGTCACTTACTTTTTTATTTGGTTTTGTTGTTCTATACATTCCGATCTCAAATTCCTTACTTGCTTAACTGCTATTCTGCAAGAAAATATACAAAATGACAACTGTAATTCCACTACAGATAAATTATTTTCCCACTTTTCGTTATCTTTGTTCAAGACCGTCGAGGGCCACTTTCTAAATAAACCAAGCAGCCAGCTAAAGGATTCTAGATTTTCTTTAGATCTTATAGGAGTGGGGTCTCCCTGGTAGCACAGGGGTTAGTACACAGCACTACGAAGCTATCCACAGCCACTACAGCATGAGTTTGATCCCCAGCAAGGGAGAGGACCCACTGAGCATGGCAGACATCTCCTGGCTTAAAATAGAAACAAAATAGCTGGGGGGAGGGGGTTCAAACAGGTATAGATTATTAAAGGTATATTGACTTCAAAAAACATTCTTTTAAAAAAAATTTTTTATTTGTTTATGCATATAAGAACTAGGGTGTAGGCTAAAGGTGCAGTGGGTAACAGAATACACCAGAGACAGAGTGGGGAAAAGAACAGACAGACTAAAATACACTGATAAGAGGAGCAGCAGGCAAAACAAGAGAGGTCTGCTGTGCCATGTGGGTCAGTTCCCTAGCTGGGGATTTAACTCAGGCCAGTCACTGGCCATAACATAACTTCATAGCTTTGAAACATTAATACCTGCACCATCAGAGGTCCTCAAAAAGAACTTTCATTTTCTAACATTCAAAGTATTACTTACTGTGCATATTCCTGATATTTTCGGGTAACACAATCTTGTCTTTGCAAAATCTGTAAAAATCTGTTACGTGCTACATGGCATCTGGCAATGCACTTGTGCAAATCTTGTGTCTTTACATTAAGTGCCTCTGTAAAATGTATAGACGAATCTACATAGAACACAAATAAGAGCATAGAAAACTTAGATTTACAAGTTAATATATGGCAGAAATGTTTAGTTTTATTAATTTTAAGAGATTAACAACTTCATACAACTAAGAACTGCTTAAACAATGATATACCCTCTATACAAAAAGATATAACTATTATCAACAAAAGCAACGATAAATTTTTAAAATAGTCATCTATGAAAACATCTAAAGTCGTTATTTTTTATAATTAAATGTTTTCAGTCCAACTTCCCAAAATATTTCTTGTCATAGCTTGATGTACATGTTTTTAATACATTTTTATATATTAGTAACTTCTGTGTAGGGCAATTTAACAAAAAAAGGCAGAATATCAGTTTAAAGAGATGCTAAGATCACATCACCTTTACTGCTGCCATCATTTTACTATTCTTCCTAGTAAGATCAGCAAGATATGACAAACAAATAAATTTAGTTTCTAATTCTCAAGTAATTCTTGGCGCGCTCTCTCTATATATAAAAACTATAATCAAAGAAGACCTTAAAAGCAAGCATTAAGAATATAAATTTTTAGGCCCTCCCTGGTGGCGCAGCGGGTTAAAGCGCTGCACTGAGAAGCTTAAGCCACTTCCACATGAGTTCGATCCCCGCCTGACCCAGAG